CATAGTGAGCTTAAGTTGGGCAAATGTGGGCACCAAAAACTCAATGCAAGAAGCAATTCACATTGCCCATCATGTTTTATGTTTCATAGAATGTCTCATTATAATGCATGCCACTAAACTACATTTTGCTAAATTTGGCTCTTAGAAAATGGAGAAGGAATGGAGGGAAGGAAGCAGGAAAGGAAGAGGAAGGAAGCAGGGAAGGAAGAGGAAGGAAGGAAAGAAGGTGGGAAGAAAGGAAAGAAGGAAGGAAGGAAGGAAGGAAGGAAGGAAGGAAGGAAGGAAGGAAGGAAGGAAGGAAAATAGAAACCCCTCTTCTTAGCTTTTCTTGGCCACTTCCTGGCTGCTCTTTGAGAAAGCCTGCTCCCTGTCTGACGGAATGGAAATAGTTTTCAGTCTTTACCCAATGCACCTTTTTTTCAGGAGACAGCAGGGAGGAGAAGATCCACAAACTGTGGGGGTGCCTGTCAATGCCAGAAATTTATTAGTATTTAATCACATTGCCAGGATGGCATGCTAGCAGTCCCTGGCCCTGCTCCAGGTCTGTTACCCACAAGTCTTGCCCTCACCCATCCCAGAGTCTGCCTGAGACACAATGGGGGCCATTGTGCGTGTGTGCTTATCCCCAGCTGAATGTGTTGATGAGAAGTGGGAATCGGAGAAAAGAATAACTCATAACCGAGCACGTGTCGTTAAAGCACAAATGCCCTAGGATGATAAAAGCTCGTGCTGCTGCCCAGGTTCTTGGCACATTCCAAGTGCTCGCTTATGCAACATCACAGTTGATCCCTGCAGCCATTCCATGAAGAGGGCCTGGAGAGCTGCACCAGGTTTCACAGATGAGAGAAATGAAGCAGGAGTGTTAATTTGCCCACGATCACACGGCTCTGAACAAGAGAAAGAAAGGAGCTGAGTCCCTAGTCTCAAAGTTCACGATGCCTCCTGTGCACTAGAACACTTCAGCTCAGAAACAAATAGGACCTCTATTCTCTGTGCTGTTAATGTTAATGGCAGCCCAGTTAATGGTCTGCTTCTGTGTATTCCAGATGTGACCATGTGCATCAAAACCCTCAAAAATATGCATGTGCTTTACAAATAAACTTTTAATTTTGAGAAATTAGATCTCAAAAGAATGGCCCGTGTACATGTACATATATATACATGTAAATAAAATATTAGTTTATCATAGCCAGGAAATCATGTTGACATGTAACATTGATTGCTGGAGATTCAGGAAGATCTGAGATGATTTCAGCAGTGACATTAGCTGCAAGATAACTTACGCTGTGCTCAAAACTGAGGTTAAAATGAGAAGGGTGTATGTGGAACAGATAAGGTGGTGGAGATGACCATGTCTATGTCAGGGGTGTGAAGAAGCAGACTGAGGACCAAAAGTGTCCCAGGAGGTGTCCTACCCAGAAAGTAGAAGCCAGGCATGTCAAGGTTAGCCTTGGGCAAGTAGTAGAAAGATGCTGAGGCAAAATGAAGGTGTTTATATGGAATCAATCACAACCCCAACCCTGGAGGCATGAGTAAGGAAGAGAGAGAGAGATGGGCAGGGCAACTAAGAGATTTATCTCAGTAATTCTGCAACAGTCTGGGACCCAAGGAACACTTTGGGAGAAGGCAAGTCATATGGAGAAAAGACATAAGATTGCATAGCTCTGGCTCCATGTGGAGCCTGGTCAGCCACGGAGAGTGGGAAACTGGGCTGGAGAAGCAGAGGGGACGACAGTGCTGCCCAATGCACACACGGGCTACCCTGATAACCAGGGCAGCAATAACTGAGGAAGGGTTCCTGAGCACAAGTATATCAGCTTTCAGGCATACAGGAAAAAAATCTTGGGGACCATGAGGGGTGGAACTACAGAGAGGCCACTGGAATGGAACATCATAGTTTATAATATACCATAGCAAATGCCCACCATAAGAGATGCCTTACAGAAGGGAGAATGTGGCCATCTGAAGGAATCTTATAGACAGGTGTGCTAGCAAACACTTGGGAGGCAAGATCATCATTAGTTAAATGCTAGCCTGTGATACACAACAAAACCCAAAATAGCAAGGAAAAACCTGAGAGAATATTTAAAAATATTAAAACACTGCTCAAGGATGACATTTAACTATAAAAATGTGACAACACATTAACTTTGTAAGTTCAAAACACATAGGTGTATATACCCTATGTATACATACATTTATATGTATATTATCTCTATATGTGTATATATAATATATACAGAAATCTATACAGATGTGTAAGACCCTTACAAGATAATGACCATAATAATAATCAAATATCTCTTGATTTCCCTGTTAAAGGTCCTTAATAAGAAAAACTTAACCCCCTTTATTTATCTTAATGTTCTTTTTTCTTTTTACTTTTTAAATTAGTTCTTTGAGAATTTTGTACATATTTGCCGCCTTCCCCCGTCTCCTCCCAGATCCATCCCCCTCTCATTCCCTACCACCCAGTTGTTTTTGAAGATCCATGAAATACAGTTTGTGCTGCAGTTATGTTCTCAGGTATGTGGCCTTACTCTGCAGTTTAGCACAGTTGTTGGTGGCTTCCCTGAAAGGAAACCGACTCTCTCTCTCTCTAGCAGCTACCGTTTAGGGAGCTTCCAAAGAGATGTCTTTGGTAGTCCTGCAGTGGTCCAGTCTCAGCATCCCGGTTCTTCCTGCCATGGTCCACCTGTCCACATCCTCTGACTGAAATGCCAAGCTCACGGCTGCTTACAGTCAAAACCCACTCATCTGTGTTAGTGATTCACTTCCAATTTGGGGGGGAGCCAAAAACACCCCTGGGTTTGGTTCTGAGGTTGGAAAAATGTCTCCCTTTCAAGTTCTGTGCCACACTTTGACACCTCGCCCAGAGACTGGCAGCCTCACTTAAAACAGCTCTATGAGTTTTGGCCTTCGGTCCTCTCACTGTGAAAGTTGAAATTCAATAAAAGGCCTGGGCAGGGATAACACACTATGCTATTTACTCCACCCTTCTGCTCTCCTCATCAGTCCAGATGCCCTTCCCTGCTATAGACAAGTGACATTTGCAAGGAGAGGAGAGGCTAGAGGGTGTTTTCAGCACTCACAGAGTCTTTAGTCCTTGGCTCCACCCATAAAAATGCCAGGCTGTAAGAAAGAAAGTTAGAAAGAGAGTCGTGTAAGGGTGGAGTGGGAAGAGCCTTTGGGGTGACTGCTCAGTGGTAAGAGCACTGCAGGCCTGAGGACTTGAGAACGAATCCTCAGCACCCATGGAATAACCCGGGTGAGGTTGTACTGCCAGTAACTCCAGCATTGTGGGGGCAGGGACAGGTAGAACTCCAGGGCTTGCTGGCTGACCAGCAAGCTAAGCAGAAAGGATTCAATAAGAGACCTCTGTCCTCTTCATGTGTATCCACAGACATGCACACTTGCACACTCACACATGTGTGGACACATACACACACTAGTTCCAAGAGGATGTAAACAGTTCCCTTTTTTCCTAAGGTCTAGACTAGGTTAAAGACAGCCCTCAGGAGGAAGACAGAGATGATCCAAGACCCAAACTGCAATCCTCATGGCCAGCAAGGGCTGATCAATATGGAATTCTTGTGTGCTATGGTTTCCATGTATGAGAAAGTACATTTTCTGACCTGCAACTCCTGTTCAGCCATATTTAACTTCCTCACCACTCCACGGCCTCCCATCAACTTAATGCTAGCTTGCTGTATGACCAAGGCCAAGTAGGACACACGTTCCAGGGCCAAGCATGTGCCATTAAACAAAGAACAGGAGCTGGTACTGCCCATGCCTACTTCCTCTCCCAAACTTGCCATCTAGTAACATTCTACCCAGTATTCACATGAAGAAGGATATGGACCGAGACTTAGTGGTCTTACTGGGATTCGTGGTTCTTTCTCAACATAGGAAGATCAGGAATAAAAAAAGATGGCTCAGCTGTTAATACTACTACTCTCACAAAGGGTGAGTTCAGTGCCCAGCACCTACATTGGGTGGTTCACAGCTGCCCATAACTCCAACTTCAGATGACTGTATGGCCTCTTCTGGCCTCCTTAGCCATCTGCATTCACCTGTACATCCTCACATTCAGATATACACATACACATGTAATTTAAGTTAAGGAATGGAAAATAAACTCTTGCCCCCAAGACTCTAGGTAAGGAATGCTGCCAGAGTTGTTTTCCTTGAGTGGTAAAATTGTAGGTCTTTTGTTATTGTTGTTCTCTCTCTCTCTCTCTCT